AACAAAAAATGGTGTAATATATTCAAGGATCCTTTGACATTTGAAAAAATAACTTGTATAATAACAATATGGATTTAGGGATGTTTGAGATCAGAAGAGCCGATCATCTGCATTCCCAAGATAAATCACCGTCTCAAGCAACCAAAGAGAAGAAACGACGAAAGTGAATAGAATATATGTTGTGTATAGGTCAAAGCATTAGCTGGTTGAGAAACCAATTCAGCAGCAGACCAATTATCCACCCCCGTGACATACCCTGGAGGGTTGCAGATGGGCGAGACGGGAAAACGCCGGGAATTAAATATTCATAATTCGATTGAGCCAATTAACTCCCTTGAGGCGTACTGAGTACAGAGAGCAGTAGCTATATAAATATACTTTTGTTCTTGTTATTTAAAAAATATTTTTTTCTTTATTCGTTGTTTTAATGACAAGTCACGATGAAAGTCGTAGCCTTTCCCAAGAAGTTGCTCAACGTGAGTCATGAGAAAACGCGACTCGAATTATTACGAGTACTTGATCTCTTTCTCTGGAAGGGTAGAGGGAGGCGAAGAAATTTCTACCTTTAGTTTGTCTGAAGCTCAGGGCACCTCGTTTGCCAAAATCGATCGTCAACAGCCAAGCCGATCTCTCAAGTGTGCCTCAAGCGTAACTGTCCAAAGTGAATCTCAACGAAGAGGCCCCCGGGTCGCTCGCTAACTGCCACGTCGCTAGCAGCCAGACGTCCGGTATTTCTGGGGCAACTCAGAGCTGGTCCAACTCTAACTGCTCTTGTTGCTCTAGTGAATTTCCATTTTCGTAAACGGTCTCTACCATCATCTTATCTATCTTCCTCTTCACGTGGCACACAAGAGACACAAGACAAGAGCTGAAAAGAGGGCCAGACAGAGATGAATAAACTAGAAATGACCCTCTGATAGCCAGTAACTCTACAACGTTAGCTCTTCTGCGGAGGTTCTCCTTCATATCGACCTTTCAGAAACTCAAGAGAGCGAGAGCGCGGACCCATTATTTGCTATAGAGTCTTCAATGACTATCGAACAAACAACGGACGTGCTTCATAAACTCGCCAGAAGATAAGAGCAGCAATTCTAGGATTCTCGAGGTTTTCCGCTACCCGAATTGCTAATATCGAATAAACTATACTTTTGTGGGCTACGTATCCTGAGATTGAGTCTTTAAATTGACCACGGATGAGAAAGATAACGTGGATTGAGAAAATTCATCAAGATTTTACAAGCAACACTCAAGTCTTGTCATGCGTCAAGAGTCTATACCTCGAGGTCTCACACACCAGCATAACTACAAGTGCCAGTACACCTCACGTGAGCATTTTCCCGCCATAAAACCTATCCCCCTCACATGACCCTCGTTACCAGGTATACCGCACCACCGACAGTTCGGGTAATTCTCCCTGCAGGCAACTTTCTTCTCAGCATCACCGACGTGATTCTCTTTCCAAACTTCATTTCTCTGTCTCGCTTCAATTCTTTATTTCTATCTTTATCCTTTTCCACCCCCTTCACCAGTCAGCTTGTTCATTTTTCGATCAGGAATTCATTGAGTTGCATTTCCTTTACGATCAATAAATCCAATCATGGGTTCATTAGCAACAACCAAAAAGAACCTACTGAAGTGAATAAAAAGTTTTGCCATTGGCTAATTTTTCAAATTAAGCTGCTATGACATCCAAAATTATCAATCTAGTGATTACGGAAAATATTAATAATAGGGAATAAAAAAAGAATAAACAAAAGTGAAAAAAATATAATATCGGACGAAATTGAAAATATTAAAATGGCCCGTAGTAGTGATCTGCAACGGGTCATTTATCAATAGAGTAATATAAACATTGATTATTTGTATTCACTCCTCTGTATTTTGCTATGATTGTACACCCGCGGTGCGTAATCTTTGTTCATTCGAGATTCATGCAAAACCATTCAACGCCAAGGAACAGACATACGTATACATGAACACACTTGCAAAATATACATACAATAAAGAACACAACAGGCACTGTGGCGTCTCACGCGACTTAGTAGACACCTTGGCGCCATGGTACTTCCGCATTGCCTCGTTTTGTCCTCACACGGGGTCGATTCATCCCACATACCATCCAGATACATAATCCTATATCGTTCATATTTTTACTGCCATCATCTGTATAGATATTTATCATGCACATCTACGTGTATCTATATATATATATATATATATATATATATATAGATGTATCACGTAAAACAACGAATACCAATACCGAATTCACTCTGTTGGACACAACATTGGACGATTTATCCTTGCAAAATGTGTCGAGCCGAATAAACTCCTAATTTTCCAATTCGCATCATTCTGCACATCTGGTGAATATAAATCCAATGTCGATAGATTTTTCAAATTACCATTTGTATACGGGTATTATGAGTGCTCTTATTGAGTTTACGAGTGGAAGAATTTATCGTATAATCCTTTTCATTCGACAAGTAACAATATTCTCCATGTATAATAAAAAAAAATTAATGAAATAACAATGATAACGATAATAATTGCAATAGTAAAAGTTAATGTGTGTTCTATTCGGTTAAAGTAGAAAAACTAAAAAAATTTAATGGCAAATGTAAAATCGTAATTCAATCTAAGAAACAAGTTTAAGAGATAGAAAGGGCTTTTGAGACTACGTCTGTACAGACAAGACAGAAGAAAACCACCCTAGCAGGTATACAGCGAAGATGCTGGGACCGGGAATAAAATATTCAACAAGAACAATTTTGTTTTAGTACGGCTTTTGCCAGCCACATCCACTTGCTGTATTAACTGCAGGTCCTTGTCGTGAAACCAATGGAGAATAAATAGAAAAAAAAAAAAACTAAAAACTCTGGAATAGAAATGACCTGTAGTAGTCAGGCGGTGTGAATTTACAATCCATTTATTTCTAATAGGTAAACACGCTTTTTATATTTTATTCATTCCTTCTGGTTTGTTTTTGTTTTGGATTATTTTTTTTTTTTATTAAGCCCCCATTAGTGATTTATTCGTGTATAAGAGTAAATTCATTTAATTTGCAACGATGGAAATATACACTGAGAGCTTAAAAAAGCTATTTCGTGGTGAAAGGGAAGGAAGAATAAAATTGTACGTCAATCCCATGGGTATTCTCGACCGTCTGGATGTCATGCCCTTCATCCTACTCGTATAGCTTACGTGAATATACATATATAAATACATATATAAATTTATACATACTAGGAGAGAATAACGTGTATAGGTCACTTGCATATATCGGAACGACCTCAGTTTGTTCCCAAGAGAATACCACGCGTTCTCTCGCCCTTTTCCACCTTCTATACCTTTAAAATGTAGTACCACCCACACTATTCACTCTGTCCACCGTTACATTCGTGAATGCACGTAAACCCTACTGTTACTGTTACTGCTTTAATAAATTAACAAAATATACTCGCCATATTCACTAAATTATTTTACCTCACTGTACTCTACGACTTTCGATACACCCTAAACCAACCCCTCTAACATATTATATTTTATAGAAGTTCAGGGTATATAGTTGTACTGGAAATTATTGGCTAATCTCAATGAATTCCCGTACAACTTTAAACCAGCCGTGAATGACTTAAGCCTTCATAGTATTTTATTAATGCTAGATTAAAATTTTTTTTTAACTTTTAATTCAAATAATCTCGATGTAAAACTAAAAAACATTGATATTTCCAATCCGTGAAAATTTTAATTAATTTTTAATCTCGTAAATTTTTTATAGTAATTATTTTTTAAGTAAAAATGAACTTATAAGTGCGGTAAAGATAAGATAAATCTTCCATATTATCAAAGCTCGTAAGTATAAATCTATCTACATTGATCAGATAAATGAAGAGATTTTTTTTCTATTATACTTCAATGTACTCAAAATTGAGAGAAAAAAAATACAGTGTGTTTCGAAAAAGTAATTAGTATGTAATTGCAATTAAAAACTACAGTAATGTATATTATCATTTTGTTCAAATCAATATGTATATTATAGGTATTAGATATAACGGCAGTCAATAAAAATTTCTATTTCCATTAAATTTTTTGCTTAAAATTGAAAGCACGAGAACTATTAAATTTTTAGCTGCATATTATCGTAGTTTTTCTTAAAGATTCTCTTTGCGACAGTTATTGAGCACCGCAGTATTACCTTATAAGGTTTAGTAAAATCACGAGAAGCTCAACTAAACCGTAGGCTACGGGGATTTAATTCTATTTCACTCTCTCTCTCTCTCTCTCTCTCTCTCTCTCTCTCTCTCTCGTCGGTTGTTACAGAACCGTTTATCCTATCTTTATATGTATATCTCAAGCATATATTTGTGTATGTATAACCATTTATCCTTATACATTTACATACTTGAATGTCTGTGCACTCACACAGTGTACCGTATCGACAATAGCATTATCAGGATAACGAGATAGAACATGAGAGTCTGCGATAAAACTATTATCATCGTTACCAACGTTACAATTGTTCATGTTTGAATGGCTATAGAAAAACTTTGCTGGCTAAATTATTCAGTAATTTACCATACACTATCCAGTATAACAAAAAATTGGCTTTGTTTAATGGGTTACTTACCTAGTAATTTGACGGTAAATTAATGCCTATATCTTTACCAGAAGTTTACGTTTATGTATGCAATTTAGAACACTGGTTATTTCCAAGAAGTCTCATGCTTTATCCAATATCAGGATCGATAACGTTTGAGAATTAGATAACTGCAATCGAAAGAAAACTGTCAACAGGAAATATAATAACTTATTTATTCATTTTTTCTTTAAAATGACTCTCTTGAAGATACAGTTTATTATCTTTTATGTTATCAATAAATCGGTGACGACGTGAAGAAAAATCTACTTGCAAATATAACGTCTAACTGACGATCGTAAATGGTACTCTTCAGAGTAACATTGACTTCCGTTCTGTTCATGAGCCAACATTATACAAAATGAAGTGTACTCTGATTTTATTTGGCATACTCGTGAGTATGACTATCAATTGGACTGAGTGCTTGAAACTGGCTGAACCTTGTATACCCACAGTCTGCAAATTACCCAACTGCAAATGTAGTACTATTGAGAGTGGTAGTGGTATTCCCACATCAAAAATACCGCAGGTATGCATTATATTAATCTATTTAATTTTAATCTCTTTACAACCACATGTAACTAATTGTTAGTTTTATTCAAAGATCAAACCGTAGAATAAATTAAATAATATTTATTAATTTCATTATCATATTATTATTATTGCAGATCGTTCTGTTAACCTTCGATGATGCTACGACCGGACAAACTTACGGAAAGTTTTCCGAAGCGCTATTCAATCGAAAAAATCCAGATGGATGCCCAATAGTGGCCACCCATTTTCTCAGTCACGAATACACTGACTATACATTAGTCTACGATCTCTGGTTAAAAGGACACGAAATCGCCCTACATTCCGTCACGTAATTTTCTATCTGTTCATTTACATCAATCCTCGTAAAATCTATTTACATGTCGCTATTCAAAGAAGTTTTAATAATTAATAATTAAAATAAATATTATTTAAGCACGCTCTAAGATATTTTTTAGTTGTAAAAAATTTCAAACGTTAATCCTACGTTTTGTCTACAGTCACGCACCCATACAAGATTACTGGCTAAAGATAAATCTCACTACTTTCAAAGCTGAATTTGATGATATGAGGCAAATAGTGATGCACTTTGCGGGAATCCCCAAGAGTGATATACGAGGTGCAAGATTACCATTCTTACAAACGTCGGGTAATATAAGTTTTCAGGGCCTGAAAGAGCTTGGATTGGTTTATGATAGCTCAATGCCAACAATACGATACGTTGATAATCCATTGTGGCCTTACACTCTGGAATACGCCAGTCACCAAGATTGCATGATAGAGCCCTGTCCAACAGCTAGCTTTCCGAACGTCTGGGAAGTACCGATGACTATGTGGTTAGATGAAAAGAATGTGAGTTGCAGTATGGTCGATGCATGCACGAACATGTAAGTCAATAAATCATTTACACTTGTATATACATATTATTTCTTCTTATTTTTCTTCTTCACAAACTGAAATTCATCCTCGTCTGCATTTAAAGTGACGTACTTGATAATACCGAACGAACAAATTTATTACAAAGATTATTTATTATCGTGGTTTTTATTTTCACATACATATGTAACAATGTTGCGTTCTGCTTACCAGTCATAGTCATGCCGGTTAAATTTATTAATCCCTTGTGAACTGAAATTTTATTGGATTGGGTATAACATACATGTACTGGGACGTCAATTAATGCTTTACGAGTCTTTGATTAATTTGGATAATCCATAACGACACATCTAAACCCCCTTATACAACAACAAGATGTGGATCAACTGACACGCTCGATTGAGCCCAAATTCATTGTCCAACCGCGGAGCGCCACTATATTGAACCTCGTAATTTGACCCGTGGGTGTTTTAGACCCAAGCAAGCTGAGCCGCTTTCAAAATGGATCATCAAGCAATTTGAACGGCATTATAACAATTCACGGGCACCCTTCCCAGTTTTCATGCATGCCGCCTGGTTTCTACGCAGTGACGAATATTTCAAGGCCTACAAATTGTTAGTATCTATTTTTAGCTAGTAAAGCTAGCTCAGTATATCCATATAATAATAATAATAATAATAATAATAATATTTAAAATATATTCATATCTCACAGATTCATCGATCATCTGGTACGCTTACCCGACGTTTATCTAGTGACAGTAAATAAAGCCATTGAATGGGTGAAGAATCCAAAATCTTTGGACGTTAAGAAACCATTTGGCGAATGTGAAGTTAGAAAACCAGCATTCGACTGTTCCCCTCGAACTTGCAAGTTGACCGGAATCGACGGCAACGAAAGATGGATGTCTTCTTGTGTTAAAACTTGCCCTGATAGATACCCATGGATCCATAATCCTCTTGGAAGATAAATGTACGGCACACTAATAGTTTAACGTTTATGTTTTATTAAAAGTATAAATAAAAAGATGTATATTGCGGCAATGTATCTAATAAAATGATAAATATATGGTGATAAAAAAAGCAAAATAAGTGAAAAGGAAAAAAATTACCCGTATTAAAGTGTGTCTCGAGCTATTGCTTCAAGTGTAATCCTTTGCCGTATAAAATGTTATATATACATTATATACACATAGTAACATTAAACATATATATGTAAGAGATAAATCTTAGCACACGGTGTAGACCGGTCGTCTACAGCATTACGGTCCGTTCCTGACGCTAACCCGGCTCTTTAAGGCCACACATATCCACTGGGTCGTAAAGTCCAAACCCAATTTCTGGTGGATACCATTAGCAGGACCCATTAAACATTAAATGACAGGGAAAATGTAACCTGAATCTCGCCAAACGAGCCAACAGTGAGGTCCCTCTAGTATCTTACGTTTCCGTATAGTCTACAATTAAGGTATTATAATTATCATCTTAATTATTCGTAACTTAAGTTATAATTAATGACTGCTATACAACCTCTAACAGTTTTTCATTGTCGCTCTCTACAAATATATTCGATATTGATTTACCATTTACCAACTGTAAACATACAAACTATTTGAAGTAGCCCATTTATAATTAAATAATCGTTTTGAGTAGCTAATCTGTTTGCCCAGAATCAATTTCTGTCTTATATATATGTGTATGCATGATATTAACTATTACCAAGTATGACAAGAATAAATGAATCAAACTGTACTGAGCGTGCCATCTCTTACGTAAACTCAGAAGCTACTATTGCTGTACCGAGTGTTTTAGTAGTGCAGAGAAGTTGGCATACATTTGAATAATATTCATAGATCTTTCTGTACCAGCGATAGTAGATTACGATATTAATGTCGGCACATTTTTCATCTACATGCATATTTATAAATTTAATGTGCATATAGACTCAAAATTAAACAACTTAAATACTGCTGTTAGTATCATACTTGATTTAATTATTACGGATGATTAACTCACTGAGTCGTCACTTGATATTTAAAAGTAAAAGTGAGTGAAAAAAATAATATGGGTGTTCACCAGTGTGTATACATTTATGTATACAAATAGGTGAAGTAAATAAAAGCAAAGCTCAAAAGCGCCTCAGGCGTTTATTCTCGTTTGCAAAACGTTTTCAGCGTCCGTAAACCATCCCAATGGCAGTAACAAAGCTTCCATTGGGAATGCCTATACTAACACTACAAATACAATTGTGCTTTAATGTCAATGTATATATGTATTGTTTATTTTTGTATATGTATGTCGTTGTCGTTGAACAACAATTGTACTTGGAAACACGTGGAACTTTATTGATGAAGCTGAGTCAATTACGCATTGAGTTGCGCCCCATGAGCAATTACACCTTTGACAAATATTTAACTCCTGATCGTTGTAACGCGACATCTCTTTTTCTCTTTTACTTCCTCATTCTATTCCCTTGTATCTCTGATGTGATCTCTCCCTACATTTTCCCAGCCCCATCTAACGCAACACGTGTACCAGAGCTCGTGTCTCGAATCCATTTAACAGATATTGAAAAAAAATGAAAATAAAAAAAAAACAAACAGTAGAACAAGACTGATAAAGGGAAAGATCTCGATCTTGAAAAAAAAAATATGCATAAAAATGTTAAAAAGGACGTAAGAAAAAAATATAATAATAATAATAATAATAATAATAATAATAATAATAATAATAATAATAATAACAATAATAAATAAATAAAAAATGAAATAGAATAAGAAAAAGAAAAAAAAAGGTGTAATACTCTCTTGCTATATTCTTGACGAGTAGAAAATTCAAGAGATCAAGGAGCTCCTCATTTCTACACGTAGTTTGCAATGCTGAAGAAAATTCTCACGAATGGAAATTTCTTTTCCGTTCGAGCGATATTAAAAAATATTCACATTGCCAAGCGTTCGACTCGTTCGTCTTCAGCTCGTGCTGTACTACTGAAAGAGAAAAAAAATAATTTTTCTATTTTTTATTATTATTATTCCTATCTTAACTTGACTACTTTTCGTCGTTGTCGTCGCAGTCCTTTTTTCTTAAACTTGTCTTTCTTCTTGAAGTTGTTCTTTTGGTGTTCGTTCTCTTCTCGATTTTTTTACTCCACTATCATCATCAACTCAAAACGAAATTCACCCCCCGGGAAATGAAAGCAGGCAAGGGTTCAAGGGTACACGTCACGCGATGATAACGATGTCAATTATGATAATGAATTGTTAGGCGCCGAGGGATGCACAGCAGTTAAGTTAAAATATGACGGCGCTCGGTACGTACCTAGAGTTGAGAGAACACCAAGAGCAAGTGGGAGCAAACCTTAAGTCTCGTATGTCTTCTACTCCATAAAACTTCTACCTACTTTACTATTTATTTTTTCAAATAAATTTATAACCCTTGATAATTGTAAATAAACTTTTTTAGCAAACAACCCGGGTCAAAAAATTTAATCTGTTTTACGATTAATGAAAATTTTTAATATTTTTCATTCTATTTAATTTTATTATGTGTATCTATTTTATATTAGAATTTAATCTGTTTTTGCCCGTACTATTCCCAATTCAGACCAATTTCAGATCATTTTTGATGTTACAATAAAATTGGTTTCTATTGTTTCAAGACCAAAATCAGACTTTTTTGTCACAATCATTTAGCTGGTTTTGATTGGTATAAAAACTTGGTAAAATAAGGGTAAGGATAAGACGGTGCTTCTTGAAGTTTATTGAAGACAAAATCCTCTGAGAAATCAAGTAGTCAATAGTCAATATCGGATGGCCGTACAAATTTTACACGGTACGAGGATTCGGTGATCACAGCCAGAATATTTATCAGGATCGTAAGGACGCGAGGTCCAGATTTCTCTAGAGAAATTACTTTTTCAAAAAAATAAATAATGAAGAAATCTCGACAAAAAAAAGTTTTACTTGATAAAAATTCAAGGTATCGGTCAAGACAATATTTCCGTGTGAAAATGGTCGTCAATCTCGTAAATGTATCGAATATTCGGTGAAATATGCTCGGGGAACTATTTCCAGAGGTTGTGGAGAGGGTCGAGTACAGGGTAAAATACGAGGCAGGTATCCGCGTAATTCTGGCCGCGAAGGGAGAATACCTGACTGGATGTGGTGTGGCCAGAGGGAGCAGAAGCTAAGTGAAGAGGGTGGAGAAGAAAGAGAAGTCCGAGACAGTCAGGGCAGTGACTACTCTTTCTCCTCGAGTAATACGAATAGTGGTATACGAATGGAAGTACAAGAGGTCCCACCCGGTGCTCCTAACTCAGCTAGATCTACGGTTTTCCTGTAACATAGATCCGCGTTTGCCGCATAGTAGCTCGAGCTGGGGCAGATGCGTGCCCTCGGTTCTTACTATCATCTAGCTTTCTCTAACTGACTGTTCCCGGCAGAACAGTGTCTCTATCTTTATCCGGTAGCGTCTTTTCTCTGTTGGTTTAATACTCAACTCTGTTGCTCCCTCGAGCGAAACCTCAAACGAGACCGCGTGGGACCTTCGTGCACGAGCCACGAACAGCATCCGGCGGACGACACGGCGCCTCGTTATTTCACCCTTGACAATTTTCGACTGAAGAGACTGAGTTTAAAACAATCATTTTATTACGATAAAAACGGGTACTTGTTTTTCGAGTTGTTTTTTTTTTATTCTCGACCATTTAATGTCTTTCACTATATTAAAACAAATGGAATTTTTATGTATTGTATTTATCTTTAGTTTTATTTATATATTTATTCGTGGTTATTTATAAAGACTTTTACCACACGTGGATAATAAAAATTTTCTCTAGCAAATTTTCTCACAAAATTCAGCACGTTTCATCTAATGCAATCGTCAGTCGCATCTTCTACTGAGTTTTCGCAACCCAACCAAAGACGTGACTACTCTTAGCTTACCGCGTTAAACAAAAAAAAAGAGCTTTCTCCCCAGAGACTTTTAGCCGGCTCTTGGTGAAGAGCAAAATGAGAGGAAGAACGAGCCCATAATTCAGCCATCTCGGGGTTACTGAGTTTCTCGTGAATCCTCAAACGGCATTACCGACTCTTGTGCTCTCTTCTTTTCTTATTCTTTAGCAAACCGTCTGTCCTTATTTTTTCTTTGTTATTTTTTATGGGTTTTTATTTTATTTTTTCTGCTCTCTCGTCTCTCATTTACCATGTAACCATTTGGAAACGACTGACGCGTATACGTGCCAACTTGAAAACAAGCCTTCCCGCAAGAAAACTCATAAAGCAGATGTGAAAACCGTCAAAACTACGAATAAACCCAAGGGCTACCCGAAGACCAAACTTTCTTGTTATATGCGGTAACAAAAATAAAAAATAAAAAAAAAAAAATACCAATGTACAGTGCAGCTGTGAGTAACTCTCTACTTTTTACCCTGTACACTGCTATGTACATTGTTATGTGTAGCAAGTAAGTCTCGGTGTACATGTGAGAAAAAAAGTTTGAGATACGATATTAAATTGTTTCCCGCCAAATGTACTGAGGTTTCATGTCGTAAAATGCTTTTTACAATCTGTCATTTTGAAATTTTTTTATGAAACAAACTTTTCCAGTATTTATTTTGTTCAAAGTCCAAGTACATATGTATATATACATACATGTATATGTGTGAACAATGCGTTAAAGGAAAAAAATTGAAATGAAATAAAAAAGTTAAAAGAAAAAATCCACTTCTGGGAAATAACGATGCGAATGAGGTGCCAAAGGTTAGGATCCATTTCGTAAGAGCAGAATCTAAAGAGAAAAACTATAAGAGAAGCGTCGACTGCAAAGACGAAGATGAGTGATCGCTCAGTTGCGTGCGTTCCGTGGTCTCTTCTGCAACCAACAGCGTGAAATTAAAAATTCCCAGCGAGTCCCGCGAGGCTTCTTTCTACCCAACAGAGAAGATGTAAAAAGGGATACGGAATAGAAAATA